GGCGGACTTTGGGAGGCAGGTGTGAAGTCTGCAAAGCACCTGTTCCTTCGGACGGTCGGCCAAATCCTCTTGACCGCGGAGGAGCTCGGAACTCTCCTCACCAGCGTGGAGGCCGTGCTCAACTCAAGACCTCTGGGAACCCTCAGCAACGACCCAAACGACGGCGAAGCCCTGACGCTCGGACATTGGCGGCCCCCTGTTGGCCCCACCTTCGGAAGCACTCCCGGACCAGATCAACCTGACCTGCTTGCGTCGATGGCGAGGTGTCTTGTCGCTCAAGCACAGGTTTTGGCAGCGATGGTCCCGGGAGTACATCTCCAGCCTACTGCAGAGGTCCAATTGGCACAAGGAGGAGCCAAACCTCGTCGCGGGAAAAATAGTCGTCGTCGCAGAGGACAACCTTCCACCCCAGCAGTGGAGGATCGGGCGAGTGGAAGCGGTTCACGCCGGCGCCGATAAAAAGGTTCGGGTGGCGGACGTTCGGACTCCGGAAGGACTACACCGGAGAGCAATATATCGGCTGGCGGAATTGCCGGCGTTGGGCTGAAGGACGTCGTCCCTTCAGAGGGGGCGGTCTTTGCGCACTTGGCGCGTTTATTTAAAATTCTAAAGTCTCTCTAGTTTTAAGGCGAGAGCGGGAGCCAATAAAGCTTTCGTTTGCTCTCGCGAATTCAGCCTGTCTCTCGACCCCCTTAGATAAGCATAGCTCTAAGAGATCATTATGGAAATTAAGATCAGTGTTAAATCGAATCCGATCAAGATCGCACTCCCTTTCGTCGCTAATATTCGCAAATAAAACAAGAAAGGAAAGCTAACTTCGGGCGGAGCCGAAGTTTATATACCCTTGCAGAATACTCTGTAAATTATATTCTCCAAAATTATTGATATGATGCATTCTTAATACTCATAAAAAATCCCAACTTCCTAACTTTAAAAACACCAAAGTTATGGCATTTCCAATCGTTCAGTTATATGACAGCTATAGGATATAGTCGGCCGATCCTTATGAAATATGGTAGATCGGATTGATTGGCCAAATATAAAACCCATAGGAAATCCCAGCTTCCTAACTTTACAAACACCAAAGTTATGGCATTTCCGATCGTTCAGTTATATGGCAGCTATAGGATATAGTCGGCCGATCCTTATGAAATATGGTAGATCGGATTGATTGGCCAAATATAAAACCCATAGGAAATCCCAGCTTCCTAACTTTACAAACACCAAAGTTATGGCATTTCCGATCGTTCAGTTATATGGCAGCTATAGGATATAGTCGGCCGATCCTTATGAAATTTGGTAGGTCGGATTGATTGGCCAAATATAAAACCCATAGTAAATCCCAGCTTCCTAACTTTACAAACACCAAAGTTATGGCATTTCCGATCAATCAGTTATATGGCAGCTATAGGATATAGTCGGCCGATCCTTATGAAATTTGGTAGGTCGGATTGATTGGCCAAATATAAAACCCATAGAAAATTTCAACTTCCTAACTTTACAAACACCAAAGTTATGGCATTTCCGATCAATCAGTTATATGGCAGCTATAGGATATAGTCGGCCGATCCCGGCCGTTCCGACATATATACTACGTGCAAAGGAAAGAAGGGTGTGTGCAAAGTTTCAACTCGATAGCTTTAAAACAGAGAGACTAGTTTGCGTAGAAACAGACAGACGGACAGACGGACATGGCTATATCAACTCAGGAGGTGATCCTGATCAAGAATATATATACTTTATAGGGTCGGAGATGTCTCCTTCACTGCGTTGCACACTTTTGACCAAAATTATAATACCCTCTGCAAGGGTATAAAAATCGTCGCTCTCTAATCAAAATCGCGTTTTTATACCCTTGCAGAGGGTATTATAAATTTGGTCAAAAGTGTGCAACGCAGTGAAGGAGATATCTCCGACCCTATAAAGTATATATATTCTTGATCAGGATCCCCTCCTGAGTTAATATAGCCATGTCCGTCTGTCTGTCCGTCTGTCTGTTTCTACGCGAACTAGTCTCTCAGTTTTGAAGATTTCGAATTGAAACTTTGCACACACCCTTCTTTCCTTTGCACGCAGTATATAAGTCGGAACGGCCGGGATCGGCCGACTATATCCTACAGCTGCCATATAACTGATTGATCGGAAATGCCATAACTCTGCTGTTTGTTAAGTTAGGAAGTTGGGACTCTCTATGGGTATTATATTTTGCCAATTAATCCGACCTACCAAATTTCATAAGGATCGGACGAATATATCTTATACCTGCCATATAACTGATTGATCGGAAATGCCATAACTTTAGTGTTTGTTAAGTTAGGAAGTTGGGATTTACTATGGGTTTTATTTTTGCCCAATCAATCCGACATATCAAATTTCATTAGGATCGGCCGACTATATTCTATAGCTGCCATATACATAACTGAACGATTGGAAATGCCATAACTTTGGTGTTTTTAAAGTTAGGAAGTTGGGATTTTTTATGAGTATTAAGAATGCATCATATGAATAATTTTGGAGAATATAATTTGCAGAATATTCTGCAAGGGTATTTAAACTTCGGCTTCGCCCGAAGTTAGCTTTCCTTTCTTGTTATTAATACAAATTAGTATTAAATTTTTAGTTGAACAGATCCATCAAGCTGTCCCCTCCTCCTCTATCTGGGCTTATTTAAAGCCAGAATTTGACCTTGGTCAGAAAAGGTCATGTACTTCGCCGTGTCTGGATAAGGACGAGGCATACCATTGAAATGGCAAGGTGGAAGGCTACTGTGTCGGGGCTAAGAAAAGTCCTCCTTGAATTTCCAGACAACTGTCTCCTGTCCGTCCTGTAGACGAAGATGAGGTGCGTGCGACTGGTTACTACTAAAGCTCCTGGCATGGACGCGATTGATGGCAAAGTAGCAAAGGCTCTTCCTAGCTCAGTCATTGCGCAGCTCTGTCTCCGCTTTAATACTTGCCTGGACCTTGGTCAATGTCCATCACCTTGGAAACGTGCATTAGTCACAATGGTGGCAAAATAAGGAAAAGACCCATGCCGCCCAGAATCTTTTAGGCCGATTAGTTTGCTGTCCACTTTCTCCAAGATTTTTGAGCGGATCAGGCTTGATAGACTTCTAGCTATTAAAACCTTTGAAGACTCACATCCAACCCACCTGTTTGGTTTCCGTAGTTTACAATGTTCTCGGTGCTTTCGAAGATCACCGTTAATGCTCTGCCGTTTTTCTCGATGTTCTACAGGCCTTTGACAGGGTTTGGCACGAAGGATTGTTCTACAAGCTAATTGACTGAGAGACTCTGGAAGCTCTTTATATCGTTCCTAGATAACAGTGATGTAGCTGACAAATTGATCGAGTTCACACTACTGGGTCGAAGGCGCCTCCGTAGACGACACCCGGCAGTTTTATGGCTTCTCGGCCGTGACAGACACGGGCGTCTTCTATAACCACACATCTTCATTAACTTATATCCGGCTATGCCCACATCTGATTTGCCCAAAAAGGGAGCACTCGCTACCCGCTTTTATTTTGGGATCTTGAGAAATTATTTATTGAGATATAGTTCCTAGTTTATTATACCCTTGCAGAGGGTATTATAATTTCAGTCAAAAGTTTGCAACGCAGTGAAGGAGACATTTCCGACCCTATAAAGTATATTTATTCTTGATCAGCATCACCAGGAGAGTCGATCTAGCCATGTCCGTCTGTCCGTCCGTCTGTCCGTCCGTCCGTTTCTACGCAAACTAGTCCCTCAGTTTTAAAGCTATCTGCTTGAAACTTTCCCAAAAGTTGTCTTTCTATTGCAGGTAGTATATAAGTCGGAACGACCCGGATCGGGTGACTATATCATATAGCTGTCATATAACTGAACGATCGGAAAAGCCATAACTTTGGTGTTTTTAAAGTTAAGAAGTTGGGATTTTCTATGGGTTTTATTTTTGGCAAATCAATACGACCTACCAAATTTCATAAGGATCGGCCGACTATATCTTATAGCTGCCATATAACTGAACGATTGCAAATGTCATAACTTTGGTGTTTTTAAAGTTAGGAAGCTGGGACTTTTTATGAGTATTAAGAATGCATCATATGAATATTCTGCAAGGGTATATCAACTTCGGCTCCGCCCGAAGTTAGCTTTCCTTTCATGTTTATTTTATTACTTCCTCTTTTCCGCCTCTAATCACGATCACTCTATTCTTTTTACGCCTTGACATTGCGATCTTGATCCTCCAGAACTATGTACCGGGCGAATTGATCTAGCCATATCCGTCTGAACGTCTGTCTCTCCGTTTCTACGCAAACTAGTCCGTCAGTTTTAAAGCTATTTGGATGAAACTTGGCCAAAAGTCTTTTTATACCCTTGCAGAGGGTAATTTTGCTCAAAAGTGTGCAACGCAGTGAAGGAGACATTTCCGACCCTATAAAGTATATATATTCTTGATCAGGATCGCCTCCTGAGCTGATATAAGCATGTCCGTCTGTCTGTTTCTATGAACAATTTAAAAATGGGGGAAATTCAATTATAATTTCGTTTCGTTTCGTAACATCTATCATAAACTCCAAGATTCCAGAATTACAGTTTAATTTATTTTTTTAAATCATTGTATCAAAATTGTAATTGGCTTGCCGAACTTTGCTTCACTTTTTGATAACAATTGAGAATTCCAACCCTTAGAAACAATTACATATACAAATGAATAGAAAATAATTACATATTGAACTACATTGTCCAATTGATTGCTGTATTTTCTAAAAATATAACTTTCTCCTGGTATTGAAAAAAAAACAACGAGAAAGACAGACGGACAAGGATAGATCAATTTGGATATTGGTTCTGATCAAGAATATATATACTTTATTTTGTTGACAACGGTTACTTCTACTTTTCAACGAATACAAAATAAACTTTTACTATACCAGTAACGTGTTTTAAAAATGGTTAAGCCCTGACTTAATTAAAACTATTTTGTTCAATTATTTTTTAATTAAAATTTTTACTTACCGCATTGCAACTGTTTATGTCCGATATTTCACCCCTTTCAATAAAGTCAATCACCTTTTTAATGTCCCCGCTGCGAGCAGCACGTAGAAATGATATCGTTGCGTCGTTCTGTAAATAAAAATGGAGCTTTAGAGATTATTTTATCGAGAGAGTGTTGTAGTTTGGGACCGTCTCTATGTTGGAGCTGTCAACAAAGTTCAATTTTTTTAATGTATGGTTTTATGGTAACTAAAATTTCAGCAAATGTGTTTTAAAATGAGCCAGATTTAACATTTGACTATCAACTACCATTTTTCACCATAACCATATGAACCTAAAACAATTAGTAATGTAAGCATCGAAATCGAAGTGTAATCGTTTTGTAATGACTGCTAGGGATACTTCGGATTGCCTTTCAACAAGATAGGCAGTATTTTAATATCACCAAAACCCAAAGAACACGAAATAAACATTAAAAACAACAAAGCTATACTTTAAATATTTTTTCCAATTGTTCTTTTGGGAGCTATATGATATAGTCGTCCGATCCGTCTCGTTCCGACATATATACTACCTACAATAAAAAGACAACTTTGAGAAAGTTATAGCTTTAAAACTGAGGGACTAGACGGACTGACGGGACTGACGGACAGACAGATGGACGGACGGACAAGTGGACGGAAAGACGAACATGGCTAGATCGACTCCCCTGGTGATGCTGAACAAGAATATATATACTTTATAGGGTCAAAAATGTATCCTTCATGGCGTTGCAAACTTTTGACTGAAATTATAATAACCTCTGCAAGGGTATAATTAGTATTATTCATCCATATAATGCATACCCAATTATGTAATTTTAGGGGTATGAATTTATTTTATTTTATTTTATTTTATTTCTATAAACACACAAAAAGTCAAAATCAAAGAAATTTTTCAAAAGTTGCGTCAGATCTGATAAACATATACAGTTGCGAAATAATAATAGGACCACTACATCGCGCTACCTTTATTGTAAAAACGAGAAAGGAAGAAAATTTCGGCAAGCCGAAGTTTATATACCCTTGCAGCTATTACAAATCGACCAGATTTCGATTTCTATGCCTGTATTACCAAAAACAATGAAGCTATGTCGTTTTTGCGCTGCATTTTGCCATCGTTTCTATGGCAGCTATATGATATTGTTGTCCGATTTTAATTTAATTAAAACCGTAATTCCATAATATTTAAATCCCAAAGAACAAAAAAAAATTAAAAATAAAAAAATGTATAATTTGTATACCCTTGCAGAGGGTATTATAATTTTGGTCAGAAGTTTGTAACGCAGTGAAGGAGACGTTTAAGACCCTATAATGTATATATTCTTGATCAGAATCAATAGGGGAGTCGATATAGCCATGTCCATCTGTCCGTCTGTTTCAATACCGTTTGCGAGCTCAGTTTAAAAACTAGCGATTTGAAACTTTCACAGTCGTCCTAAAACAAATGTACGCAGATCAAGTTTGAAAACCGCCCCGATCGGATGTCTATATGCTATAGCTCCCATAGGAACAATCGGAAACTTGGAAGAATAGAAGATATTTCGCGCAGTGTAAAAGCTATTGACATGAATCTTTCCAAATCGTAATTTTTTATGCATACCTTGATCAAGGTAATAGCGCGTGCCGATCGGACGTCTATATCCTATAGCTCCCATAACAACAATAGGGTGAAATCGGTCCAAATTTGATGTTTTGCAGAATATTTCACGCAGTGTGTAAGCTATTGACATACATTTTTTCCATGTCTTATTTATTTACGCATATCTTGATCAGGTTAAAGGCGCTTACCGATCGGACGTCTATATCTTATAGCTTCCGTAGGAAAAATTGTTAAAGGCTGCGATAATATCCCTCTTTTTCTATTTTTATATGACATTTTTGCAGACGAAAAGCTGAAACTATGCAAATCTAGTTTATTTATGTATACCTTATTCCTTTCGCTTCTTTTTCAATTTTAGCAATTTCGGCAAAGTCTGCCAGGGTATTAAAACTTCGGCTTGCCGAAGCTAGCTTCCGTCCTCTTTTTTTTTGTTAATTTGATTGCGATTCTATTTTAAAGACGGAATTCGATGAAAAACACAGCTATATGATATTGTTCTCCGAATTTAATTTAAATAAAACCGTAATTCCATAATATTTAAATATTACCAAATCCCAAAGAACAACAAAAAAGACAACAAATTAAAATTTTTTGGAAATGTTTTATCCGATTGTTCTTATGAGAGCTATATGATATCGTCGCCCGATCCGGCTCGTTCCAACTTATATACTACCTGCAATAGGAAGACAAGCAGATAGATTAATAACAGAGGGACTAAAATTATAATACCCTCTGCAAGGGTTTATTGACGAAATGTATGGAGTTAAACGTTTCACAAAAAAAAATATTTTACATTTACACAAGGAGGGTCTATAATTGAATATAAGACGGGCTGTCCGATATCGCAAGAGAAATTTACTATCGTGTAGTACATTCTCGTAGACGGCTACGGTCCGAAATTTCGAATCGGACTCGTAGTTTTGTTTTGACTGCGTGTGGAATCGGAAGTGTCCGCGGATTTTAAAAAAATGGAGAAAGAGCAATATCGGTCTGTGATTCGATTCTTGTTTTTGGAAGGGAAATCGCACAGCGAAATCAAAGTGCGCTTGGATGCTGCCCCATCCACCATATTCTCCAGATTTGGCCCCGTATGACTTCTTTTTGTTTTTAAACTTGAAAAAGTCACTCGCTGGGCAGAAATTTGCGTCGAATGAGGAGGTCGTCGCCACCACAGAGGGCTATTTTGCAGACCTTGAGAAAACGTATTTTTCAGACGGGTTAAAGAAGTTGGAGCATCGCTAGGTCAACTGTATCGAGCTAAAAGGAGATTATGTTGAGAAATAAATCGCCACTTTTCCAAAATTTTCGTTTTTCTTTTGGAGGATAAGTACTTATCGGACCACCCTCGTATTTGTGGGATGTTCGATAGAAGTCCTCCAAATATAAGAAACACTTCTATCTTTCTTTCTCGAATAAAATCCGTTCTGGCCGTCTTAAATCATTAACAAGCAGAGAAGAGAGGAAAATCCTTGAGGAAAACAGGAAAAACCTGCATCTATCGGCTTCAAAAATTAATACCTCCATATCCACATCCGTAGGAACAAACGTATTCACTGAAACTGTCTGAAGAATCATTAACAAGTAAAGAAGAGAGGGAAACAGGAAAAACCGTAATCCATCGGCTTCAAAAATGAATACCGCCATATCCACATCCGTAAGAACAAACGTATTTAAACAATTTCCTTGGGAGATACCGTGGAAAGAATCTCTTATCCATTAATATATCAAAGCGGTGTTTTCCCCAAACCTATTCAGACCAGAATTTTGAGTACCGGGAACAATAAATATTTAGTGATGAAAGCAAATTTAATGTATTTGGATCTAATGGAGTGAGAAAAGTGTGTCGAAAGCACCGCGCTAACTTAAGTTAAGGGGGAATGGTTAATTCAGCCAAAAAGGCCTATTTTCATGAATTTTGTCACACGATACTGTTAATGTCAGATAATTTTTTTATAAGCATATCAAAGTACAACATTTAAACCAAGTTTTCACAAATTTTCATAGAAAAAAAAATGAGCCGTTTGCAGCCAAGCTACGTAAGCGCCTCCAAGAAAAAAGGTTTTGCGGTGAACAGCATAACTCGTTACTGAGTCATCAGAAAAAAATAATTGTTTATTAGTTAAGATGTTTCTAAAGGTAACTACGTTGAGTTTTTTTTTATTCAGTTTTTGGATTTTTGGTAACACTTTGAAGTCAAAAACTAGATTTTAGCCTAAAAATTCGATATGTTAGTTATTATAAAATAAAAAATAATCAGTAAAAAAAACTCGACGTTAGTACCTGAAGATTTAGGAACAGAAATTGTGTGTAAATTTTCAAAACGATTCGTCCAGTAGATTTTGCAGGATCGTGTTCACCGACTTTAAAATTGCAACTTTTCAGGAGAGCGTTTTGAAGTTTTGGACATCCAAAAATCGCATAGAAAACGAGCTAACTCACCTATGTTCAACTGCCTATAACTTCAGAAGTTTTACTCGGAACAATATCAAATTTTACCGCAATATTCTTCAAGTGTTGTGCATTCAGAAAAAAAAATAGAAAAAAATAGGCAAGCCGGAGGAAACTTTGTTTTTATAAACGGAATTATGAATGCTGAAGCATATCTAAATATATTAAAGACAAATTTACACTCCAGTGACAAGTTACTTTTCCAATAGGACAATGATCCCAAACACACGAAAGTCACTTGGAAAGTCGAGATGTGGCTGTTGCACAACACTAAACAGATTACATCGCCTACAGAGACACCAGACTTCAACCCTTTTAAAAATCTTTGGTTCCACTTCAAGCTAAAAGTCCAGGAACATAAGATTTCTTCTAAGAACGTACTAAAAAGATTTTCTCTAAGGAATGGTCGAATATTTCTGAAGTCAGGTGCCAAAAATTAGTGGATTCAATGCCGAGTCGCTTACAAGCTACATATTAAGGAAAACAATGGCTTACAAACAAAATACTGAATATAAAAACAAATAATATTTAATACTTAACGACATTTGGTAGTCCTAATGATTTCCAAATATTTTTGTTAATATTAAATATTTTTGTTTAAACAATAAATAAAATAATCAATTTGATACTTAATCATTAAAAAATACATGCATTTAATTCATGGGATACCTCGCAGTGTGACTCACTGTATGTGTTCAACTCAACGTCTTTAAGTTTAATTGAATCAATTAAGTCAGAATTATTATTTTTTCGACCGATACCATTTTAGAAATTGTTGATTTTAGAAGAAAAATAAAATGGAATACATTTCTTGTGTTTAGATCTTCAAAATATTCTAACATTGTTCGAACTGCAGAAGCGAAATAATAACTAGTATTAAAAGGTGATGGCTCTATTTTTAATTTCGCCTCAACTGTATGTGCATACGTGCAAATGTTGGAATATTCAAAAAATTCGTCGGGCATTAATTAACTTAAACTATGTGTATAACACTATTGTACACATCCAGATATTGCTAATCTGCCCATGTATGGACATATGTAATATGTATTGCTGTTTCTTGTTTATAAAAAAAAAGGATTTATTATTGTTTACCTGTTTTATATTTCCATTAATTTGGTCTGAGGTCATCCCGTTATTCATACTCGTTGTTTGAACACAAGTTTCACTAGTTGCTTTAATTTTGTTCTCAACTCGTACCTCATCAAGTGTCATGATTGAGGTTCAAGGCCTGAAAATGACATGAAAATTCAATATATATATGTACATATATGCATATGCATAGAAATAAAAAAACTGGGTATATTTTTATTTGTTTATGTTTGTGCAGTAACTTTTCTTTAGATGTGCAAATTAATTTATGTATACGCATATAAACATTTGTATGTGAGAAGAATATACTTGTATGTATGTATGTAAATATTTTTGTAAGATTTTTGGCTATTTTGAAGACAATACAGTATGTAGGGAACATGTCCGTAAAGCACAATGACATCCATTTTTACATGATATATGAATGTACATATTTAATGTTATTGTTGAAACTTTTTAGTTTTACTGAACGATTGGTGGAATGACGTCATCAAATAAAACTCTTGTCCCGTTATTAAAAAATGGTTTAATATAAATGAAACACAAATATTATATAATAATTAATACACTATCTATGGATAATTAGATATATATTTACAACTATCAAAACGAATGCGTTACTAATTTTGGAGAAAGTAGTTCGATAATAAACATACTTATCGTTTTTGTACCATAACCAAATTCCTTCAATACAATCAGTGCTGCCCGATTCGTACACTTTTCCAGTAAAATCTAGCTTTTTTTATACTATTAGGGATATCCATATGTACATATATGTATATTCATTTTACATAAAGCCAAAGATGCATGAAAAATTCACCCAGAGTTCACTAAATGCGTGTGTCAAGTTATAAACAGATTTTTCATCTCACCAAAAGCCAAAAAAAGGCCAAAAGCGACGAAAGCTTACTTAAAACTACACTACATGTTTAAGCCTAGTACTCAGATAAACGAAAACTGTCCGCCAGTCATGAGAGAGAGCGAGAGGCAAACAGCTGGCGTTCACTTTTCGGCAGGCTTTTTTTACCTCGGTACTCAGATCGACGAAAAAATACTAAAAAATTGCATAGCGTTGCCAGTCTGCGGAAATTAACTTTGGAACCCTAGCGAAAAGAACAAAAATGTAATCTTTTGGCGTGCGCTTCTCACTGAACATTTTAAAAAATGGGGGAAAAAAATAAAAAATCCCGTAAGAGTCGATTGCAGGAGTTTTCTTGTGAGGGTGTTAATGTTTTGGGGTGCCTCTTGTCAGAGCAAAGCTTTTCTTAGATCAAAAATGTACGAAAACACATAATTAAACTAAGCTGGGTCCAGCTAATGTAAACACAAACATCCGCACAACACCTGGCAAGCCCAAAAACTATACATTTAGGGGTACTATATGATCTGCTATAGTTTTCCAGTGCAGTTATCGCTTCAGTAGACTTAGTGGTTTTTGTAGATTACAGTCTTACAAAATTTGTGCAGCTATCAACAATTAATAAAATATGTCTTGATTTCTTATCTTTCGTTGTAACTGGTCCCAGATGATCAATATGTACATAACTGTTCAAAAGGTTTTGTTGGCTTCTGAATGTTATCTAAATAGCCTTCGTGCTTGCCTTTTGCCGTAAATGCAATACGTTCTAATCAATTTTTAATATGTTGTCCTATCATTTCCTTTAATTTTGGAAGCCAATATGTCTTCAAAACAACTTCTAACATTTTGTCGACACCTACATATCCAAAGCCATTGTAATATTTAACGCGCGTAGTTCACATATCTTTTGAAACATAGAATAATATAGAGTCATGATATTTCCTATAAATAATTCCATTGCGCATTTCATACAGTTTGTGTTCAGTCTATTCTAGAAGTTCTTTAATTTTGACAATATTCTCATCCTTACCCTGGCATATAATCAGATTTTCTTCGAACGAATTTGTATCCACTACCACTATAATAGTGCTTTTGCTGAGAGCATCTACATATGTTCCAGTATATAAACAGGTCTAAAGCCCATCGTGCTACTCTGGGGCTTAGTTTTTTTTTTTTCAACAGTGTAAGAGAATTGCAATCCGTGACAACTTTAAAACTTTTACCGTGAAGATATACCCTAAAACGTTTGAGTGATTAAATTATTGCTATCGTTTCCAGCTCGAAGCTGTGATACCTTGACTCAGCATACGTAGTGCGCTTGGAAAAATAAAACATCGGGTATAACCCCCCATCTTTTTTCTTTTGGATCTAGATTGAACCAAAACCAATTGAACTCGCTTCGCAGTTCAGCTCTGTCTCATCTGCTGGATTGTACAAAGCAAGTATAATGGAACCTATTAATTTTTCTTTTCAAACTTCAAACGTTTTCAGCTTCAATTCCCCAAACCGGAAATTTGTCGTTTTCTTCGTTACGTCTTATAACGGTTTCGCAACTATAAAAAAGTTTTTGATAAACCTGCGAAAGTATGAAAAAAAGTCCTAGAAAGCTTTGTACTTCATTAGTTTTCGTATGGACAGACAAATTTTTTATAGCGACTATACCCTTTCCATTAGCATTGATGCCGTACCCATCAACCGTATAATCTATTTACTTAATTTCCGTTTGAAAAAACTCACATTTACTAAGTCTAAGTTTACACTTTAATGAAACACTTCTGTCTGCGATCGGCGACAATATGTATTTTTTATAAATTTATTTCGGTTCATGCGGTTTATTGTGCGACGATGCGTTTATTAAATTGTATTTCTGCTCACATCAACGATTGTAGCGACAATGACGGTATGATAATTATAAGTGTTAGTCAACGTATTTATAAGATCAGCTGAAATTGGAATATAGAGTACTTCGACGCATTCAAATTAAGACGGTTAATTCAAAATTTTATTTTCACCAGCAACACTTCCCTCACCGTAAAACGCCTAAGTCGTTTTACCTAAAACGTCAAGAACCGCTAGCTTTGATATAGGGCGTTTATGTGAACCAGTTGTTTTTTTAATTTACTGATAATTATTTGCTAATTTAAAATTCATATATGCATTTTTATTGTGTTTTTTCGTAAATTTTTGACCTAAGAAACATTTTGCTTTGACAAGGGGCACCCCAGATAGTATTAATGTTATTTTGTTCTCACATGTAAACTCCTGCAATCGACTTTTGTTTTTGATTTTTTTCCTCCATTATTTAAAATGTTCAGTGAGAAGCGCTGGCGTGCGCTTAAAATTTTGTAATCTTTTCGTCAAGTTCATTTCCGTAGACTGGCAACGCTAATCAATTTTCTGGTATTTTTCGTCGATCTGAGGACCGAGGTGAAAAAGAACGTTGACGAAAAGTGTACGCCAGCTGTTTGCCTCTCGCTCTCTCTCATGACTGGCGGACAGTTTTCGTCGATCTGAGTACTAGGAATTAGCCTTAAACGTTTGGGTAACAAGGCCCTTCTTCCAGCCTCCTCTGGGTTGATTTTCATCACAGATCAAGACTAGATCCCCGATTTGAATTGGCTTGGTAAGTGCAAACCATTTGGTAAGCTTTGTTATCCAACGTCTCCAAAATTCATCCTTTTGCTGCTGACTCAACTTCTCCAGGAGTTTGTGTCGAGTTTACGGTTCCTAGTAGAAAGTGGTTTGGGGTGAGTGGTTCAGGATCGTCTATAGTAACAGGTGCGTGTGTTAAAGGTCTACTGTTAATAATATTTCGGCCTCTATCAATAGACAAGGTATCATTTCTACGCTTTGTTGGTTGAACCAATCTTTCCCAACATCCTCCGGAACTAGGATTAGCTGGGCAGTTAAACTCTCAGCTGATGTCCTTGGTCGCCAGCGTTGCCTTTATATACTCCCGATCGAAGATGTCATTTGTTTTCCTTACAATAATGTCGACACCAACAAAGTTTGTGCCCATATCACAGCGAATAGTGCTGGGAACGCCTCTTCTATTCACGAAATTTCTGATGACTACAATGCATGCATCAGATGAGATATTCTAGACAAGTTCTAGGTGTAAGCTCTGACTGTTAAACATGAAAGCAAGGCAACACAACTCTTTTCGTGACGACGCCCTATTGTTACAGATTGGGGGCCAAAGAAGTCAAGCCCTGTGTAAGTAAACGGTCGATTGTACGGCGTAACCTTATTTTTCAGCAATTGCCCATAAGCGTGGGCACTGGCTTTACGTTTTTGTTTTTGCAGTACTGACAGGACGAGTTGTATCTTTTGACTGCCTTTTATTACTTATCACCTAGAACTTGTGTCGTATTTCGCTTACTATTAGTTCGTCATTTTGATAGCCTCACCGCCCGATGGCGTCACTATCGCAAGAGAAATTTACTATCGTGTAGTACAGGTCGAAAATTTTAGCCGAATCGGACTCGTAGTTTTGTTTTGACTGCGTGTGGAATCGGACGTGTCCGCGGATTTTAGAAAAATGGAGATAGAGCAATATCGGTCTGGGATTGGATTCTTGTTTTTGGAAGGGAAATCGCGCAGCGAAATCAAAGAGCGCTTGGATGCTGTGTACGGTGACTCTTCCCCTTCGCTGGCGACCGTAAAAAATTGTTTTAACGTGGTCGCACGTCGGTTTTTGATGAGCCACGTCCAGGTTCCCCGAAAACGGCTACCACGGAGGATAACGTGACAAAAATCCACGATCTCGTATTGGCAGTCAAAAGACCAAGTGGTTCATATCCTGCATGAAATTTTGGGCATGAGAAAGCTGTCGGGCAAAACGGTCAGAGGGCCCCATTTGGGGAAGAAAAAAGTGCTCTTCCATCATGACAACGCACCGGCTCACACTTCCGCCCTCGCAAAGGCCAAATTGGTCGAATTCTCCAGATTTGGCCCCGTGTGATTTTTTTTTGTTTCCAAACTTAAAAAGTCACTCGCTGGACAGAAATTTACGTCGAATGAGGAAGTCGTCGCCGCCACAGAGGCCTATTTTGCAGACCTTGGAGGATCGCTGGGTCTAGTGAATCCGACTAATAGGAGATTATGTTGAGAAATAAATCGATACTTTTCCAAAATTTTCGTTTTTCTTTTTCTATGTACTTATCGGACCACCCTCGTAATAAAGTCGGTAAGTGGATGTCCTTTGGAAGTATTATTGGCTGACGAGTACTTACGGCCAGTGTAGATGCATTTTTTAGCCTGCCTTGCACGACCAAGAAATCATCTTCATTTAGACCGGATGACAATGAATATATTGGGCTACATTTGGAAATTCATTTGCCGAAGAGCGCTTATTTCTTCAAAATATGTGTGTTGCCGTACTAGCTTACACAATATTTTTTTTAGCATTGACCAATTCTTTGAAGGAAATAGCTCCTTTAACTTTCTTTTCGTTTTTCCAGATGTTTCCTATGAGCATCCAACCCATCGCTTAAGCGCATAAAGTTTGAAAA